TAAGAAGGGATGTGGAAAAGTTTTAGATAGACCTCGTGGATCTTGAAAGGTCTACAAGCATGAGCTTCTATGGAAGCTGTAGGGACAATTGGATTAGTGAGGTACTATGGACCATTCAGTCCTGATGCAGTGATTGCAGGAGTTCCGTTCTAGTAGGGGTCTAGTAGAAGGATGAGTATAGGTTTTGTCAGTATGGGCTGGGCTATACTAAGGTTCCATTGTCTCTCCTTTCCTATTCCTTGCATACATGGGCAAGAATTGTATGTGTATGGGCCCCTTGAAACAGTCGGAGTGGAGTACCTGGATCTCTGCTTCTCTGCTTCTCAAGCAATGGGTGATATGCAAAAAGATATAAACAATCGCATCTCCAGGGCTTCCACAGTTTTGCAGAAACTCTGGTGGACATTGATTCCCAAATGGGATATCTCTAAAAAGGCACAAGTCTCTTTTTTTCTTCTTTTTTTTTACATGTTTTTTTATTCCAACCCTTCTTATGGCCATAAACTTAGGGGCAGTGATGAATAGAATCAGAGCACAGGGAGAAGCTGCCGTAGTGTGGTTCTTATATTGACTGGCTGGTGTAAGACTTTGTTATATGATACCAATTGCCACCAAATGTGAGGGTCTCCAGGATTAGCAACTACTTCTCCAGATCAAGAGATCTCCAGTCCAGTGGTTTGGGCAAGTTTGTCACATGCCCCTGAGAGACATCCAAAAAGAGTTTTTCAGTCCATCATGACTGGTGAAGGACCAGTTGGCAGTCATTGTGCAAGGCAGAAAGGCTGTGTTGTGCAGCTTTGTCACAAGTTGCTAGTTTGTCACATGCCCCTGAGAGACATCCAAAAAGAGTTTTTCAGTCCATCATGACTGGTGAAGGACCAGTTGGCAGTCATTGTGCAAGGCAGAAAGGCTGTGTTGTGCAGCTTTGTCACAAGTTGCTCAACATCCCACTCACTTAGCTTGAGTCCATTGCCAAGGGTTGGGAACATTCCAAGGTTGGATGAGCAGTCATGAAAACAAACGCCCCAAACTCTTATTGTATTGGATATAATTTATGCAAGTTTCAGGCTTGTAGTCTCATTTGTTGGACCTCTGAGTAATCTCTTTTTATCCTTCCAAAGTGAATGGTTTTGCTAGTACAAACATGTTAGTCATTTCAGTAGTCAGTACATGAAACCTCCATAAGGCACACCGTACACTAAGGCAAATCCAGCTGTGCCTCATCATTTCTTACTCGGAAAAGTCACCCTCCCAGATTGATAAAAAAAAAGTAATGTTACCTTCACTCAAATTCTGTCCAGTAATTTATCCATCATTCCTTAAATATCAAATTACACCTAACCTTTATTGGTATTAGATCATTTCTGGGTATCCCAAAATAAAATATCACTGCCACCTTGAATACAGTATGTGCATCCATTTCAAAGCAAGTCCAGAAGTTTTCAATGCAAGTTGTTGTTTTGCTTATCAACTTCTTTAAGCACTTGGATACGTGAATGTCAAAAGAGACTATGGTCCCAGGAAGACCCATCTAGTTGTCCATTTATTAAAATTATCCAATTATTTTTGTTCTTTGCCTGTATGTTGTGCATAAGGTACCTCCTAGTAGTACCTGGTAGTAGAAAGTAGTAATACTTTCGGTATCAGATCAGTGTTTCAGCAACCTCATACTTCCTGATCTGCGAAAGTACTTGCCCGTTAAAGGTGAAACTTGGTGGACTCGAAGTCCTGGTTAGGGGCATGAAGTCTAACAGATATTGGGTGAACAGGCAAGTTACGTAGACAGATGCGAGAGGGAAATTTGTATGGGACATGTGGGCGGGGCCTGTCTTTGACCCCAAAAACATGGCCTCAAAAAGCCCCACTCTCGCACCTACGACTATCCAGTCTAGTTATACGTAGTATATACATGTCTATGATCCCAACAGCTTATTTCTTGCCTCCATGCTCTACAGACATCTGCATTCTTTCCTTTCTTCCCCTCTACGCGCACCATCGCCAAAGAATTTTATAAAGAAAAGCGCTTGAGATAAACTTCTAACATAAGGTGGCGCAAAAAGCGACTTCTGTTTGACACCCTCTGGAATCTACCAGGGAAATATTTCTCTTCTGGAGCCATGAAGGCGAGTTTTTGTTTTGTCCTCCTCATAGCGTTCCTGATTGTGTAGTGTCATTAGGTCTTAGGTGAGGACACAAGGCCTGAATTTTCATTATGTGTTCAGAACATAAGTATTGAAGAGGGAAGAGAATAATGAGTTTCCCACCAAATCATTGACTGTTTTTTGAAAGACTCTTCCTTCCCAGGCCTTATTATGAGAATACTTCTTAACAGGAATTTCGATAATCGGAAAAATTAGCGTTGGCGAGCCATAGCTTTATCTTTCCTGGAGTCGGCGTTCCTTGAGAGTCATGTTGGTGAGGGAGGGATAATCCACAGTAACTAAAAAGATCATCTCATTTTCAGTTGCCATTCGCATTTCACGTTGACAACATGGCGAGTGGAAAGCAAAAGAGGCAAGTCTTCAAGAGGAATATCCAGTGCCAAAGGGACGAATGCTCTCTCTATAGAACGAAAGAGGTCTTAAAGCCCTGACACACTTGCTTAGTACCCACTCGCGAGTACTCGCCAGAATGAGCGAGTGAGGTGTTACATTAACCGAGTTCTCGCAAGAGAGAGGATTTCCTTTACTCTCCTGAAACTTGCAGTCAAGCAGTCGACTCACATTCAAATAATTAGAAGTCGGCGTACCACAAGCATCTACGCGCAAGTGCGGAATGTGAGTTGAGACGTGATGTACCACCTCCGAGGAGCTCGTGAATAGGATATGGGACTCCACAACCTTGAAGCCAAGGGGGACTTCNTGTGGAAAAGTTTTAGATAGACCTCATGGATCTTGAAAGGTCTACAAGCATGAGCTTCTATGGAAGCTGTAGGGACAATTGGATTAATAGTGAGGTACTATGGACCATTCAGTCCTGATGCAGTGATAGCAGGAGTTCTGTTCTAGTAGGGGTCTAGTAGAGGGATGAGTAAAGGTTTCGTCAGTATGTGCTGGGCTATACTAAGGTTCCATTGTCTCTCCTTTCCTATTCCTTGCATACATGGGCAGGATTTGTATGTGGATGGGCCCCTTGAAACAGTCAGGTGGAGTATCTGGATCTCTGCTTCTCAAGCAATGGGTGATATGTAAAAAGATATAAACTATCGCATCTCCAGGGCTTCCACAGTTTTGCAGAAACTCTGGTGGACATTGATTCCAAAATGGGATATCTCTAAAAAGGCACAAGTCTCTTTTTTATTATTTTTTTTTACATAGTTTTTATTCTAACCCTTCTCATGGCCATAAGCTTAGGGGGAGTGATCAATAGAATCAGAGCACAGGAAGAAGCTGCCATAGTGTGGTTCTTATATTGACTGGCTGGTGTAAGACTGTTACATGATACCAATTGCCACCAAATGTGAGGGTCTCCAGGATTAGCAACTACTTCTCCAGATCAAGAGATCTCCAGTCCGGTGGTTTGGGCAAGTTTGTTACATGCCCCTGAGAGACATCCAAAAAGAGTTTTTCAGTCCATCATGACTGGTGAAGGACCAGTTGGCAGTCATTGTGCAAGGCAGAAAGGCTGTGTTGTGCAGCTTTGTCACAAGTTGCTCAACATCCCACTCACTTAGTCATAGTCCATTGCCCAGGATTGGGAACATTCCAAGGTTGGATGAGCAGTCATGAAAACAAATGCCCCAAATTCTTATAGTATTGGATATAATTTATGCAAGTTTCAGGCTTGTAGTCTCATTTGTTGGACCTCTGAGTAATCTCTTTTTATGCTTCCAAAGTGAATGGTTTTGCTAGTACAAACATGTTAGTCATTTTAGTAGTCAGTACATGAAACTTCCATAAAGCACACCGTACACTAAGGCAAATCCAGCTGTGCCTCATCATTTCTTATTCGGAAAAGTCACCCTCCCAGATTGATAAAAAAAAAAGTTACCTTCACTCAAATTCTGTCCAGTAATTTATCCATCATTCTTTAAATATCAAATTACACTTAACCTTTATTGGTATTAGATCATTTCTGGATATCCCTAAATAAAATATCACTGCCACCTTGAATACAGTATGTGCATCCATTTCAAAGCAAGTCCAGAAGTTTTCAATGCAAGTTGTTGTTTTGCTTATCAACTTCTTTAAGCACTTAGATATGAGAATGTCAAAAGAGACAATGGTCCCAGGAAGACCCATCCAGTTGTCCATTTATTAAAACTATCCAATTATTTTTGTTCTTTGTATGTTGTGCATAAGGTACCTCCTAGTAGTACCTTATTACTACTTTCGGTATCAGATCAGTGTTTTAGACTCCGAAAAGGTGCACCTCGAAGTGTGAGATGAGTCTGGCAATGTGTAATTGATAGAAATCGGTCAGGTGTTTTGGCCACTAATAAGTACTTATTGGCCCTTCAAGTACTTCTTACTTTACACTCATCCAGTCCGCCACGTTTGGCGCATGGAGGCACTCTGGTAGAAGAAACGAGACGAGTACAGTGGCACTTCAGAATCGGTCTTGAAGTTTTCGCTCTAGGCCTGCAAGTATAATTCCCAAAGAATGGTCCTCAACCTTATACTTCCTGATCTGCGAAAGTACTTGCCCGTTAAAGGCGAAACTTGGTGGACTCGAAGTCCTGGTTAGCGGCATGAAGTCTAACAAATACTGGGTGAACGCAAGTTGCGTAGACAGGAGATTTGAGAGGGAAGTTTGTATGGGACATGTCAAAAAGCCCCACTCTCGCACCTACGACTATCCAGTCTAGTTATACGTAGTATATACATGTCTATGAGGCAGACGCGCAAACTACGCCATTCCCTGCCACTTCCTTCCGGCATGTGCTTCACCTCTGTGTCTCTCTCTCCATAATGTTCTTTGACTGTCACCCAAGGGAGCAGTGTGTTGAGTCGTTGTGTTTGTTTACCTGTGTAGGCCTTGTATGTACAGTATATAGGCCTAGGCCTAAACTAATGAGGTGGGTTTCTCCCACGTGTCCAAGATTCCGCCTAGCAGGACCTTTTTGTTAGACGGTTGGTTGGAAAACATTTTTTCCGGACTTTGAAGGCTTATATTGACCGGCTGTTTGCCCCGGCGTATCCTGACCGGCTTGCAACCACCGGCTTCATCTTCACCGGCTTCATCTTCACTGACATGTGTTCACCGGTTTGTCAATAAATGTGTGTTCGTGTGGGTGTCTGAGAATCCACTTGTTTTTGTTGGAACACTGATTGTCACGGGCAGAGAACCCATAAGCCCGCTACCTTTAACTTCATCAAACATTTAAGTCCTAAACGAACCCATGACATAAATGTGTCAACAGGTGGAGTTGTCTGAGGACAAGACAGAACAGATATTATTAGACCACCTGCTAATGCAGCAGCATATGAAACATTCCTTCCTCTGAAGAACCTGCTAGTATTCCAGTTTGAGCATGAGCTGATTTCACCTTTTAGGTTGCTTTGTCAGTTTCAGAGAGTACGTAGTATTTACAGGGTTATGCAGAGGAAATAAAATTGAAATTTCATTTTTGAGTCAAAAAATCAAATTCATGACATACAAAAAAAAACAGGATTGACATACAACTGGTGATTTTCACAATATTTAGGACCTTTCTTAAGTAAGGTTTTCTGGTTTATAACTAAAAATAACATTTTTTGTTCTCATAAACATATGAGTGTCACAGAGTTTATAGAAGAATAAAAAATGGCAAGCAATTGAGAAATTAGTTTCTTAATATCAAAGGACAGGTTCTTCCCTTCTTAATCTGCAGATATCACGTTTGTAGACAACAAGGCAATATTTTCTATTAATATAGCATTTCCTCCCAGTACAATCATCACATGAAAGGATCCAATTGTTATGATTACACATAAGACTTACCAATGACATCAGATGAATCATCAAAAAATCCCAGTTTTCACAGCTCACCTCACCCATCTGTAAAAGTCAGGAAAAAATAACATAAAACATGGCTGCAAAAAGTCACATTGCACAACATGAACTCAATGAATGAAAAAAAAAATCTTGATAATAACATTTTTCTTGATTATTGATTTCCCCCCAATTTTGTACCAATTTCTAAAATCCAGATGACAATGTTTCAAAGATATACAGTTCTTTCATAGCTTACCCAAATAGGTGGAGTGTTTCTCATAGTGTTAGGTGCTACTGTGAATGATGACATTTCCATGAAGATTGAGAAATTCTTTGGGGGAGAATGAAGGATTCGGACTGAGTCTTCCAGGTTTTTCCAGTTCGCACCGTGGGGGGGTGGTTCCAACTGCACTGGTACCTTGTGTCCTAGGGGAGATTGAAGGAAAGGTCAGGGAATCAATTCAGGCATTTTATGGAATGCACTGGAAACAATGAGAACTGCTTACCAAATGGTGCCTCATCAAATGACACAAATGACCTGGGAGATGGTAGAGCATGGATATCAGAAACACTCTGATTTAGGGAGTTGTTAGATTCTGCTGGATGGATCTCACCTGTAATCATCACAATATGTAATAGCAAAACATGGTTCACCAATACCACCTTTTCATGGCAATAATTACCTGATTTGTCCTGAACCATGCTGAATGATGTAACTATGGAAGGCAATGCCACTACCAGAGAAAATGATGCATTCAAAGTTTCTTCCCTGTTGCCTTCTGTTGGTCCTCCTTTGCATAGAAATCAAATTTCAACATCATTTTGAACTTCAACTTCCTATTCTAATCTATCAAATTACTTTTTAAACCCTACAAACTCCAAATAATGGTATTGTGAGGTCTTTTATGAAGGTAAGGACAAGAAATCTACAACAGTGCAAAGGCAAATATTGACTAGTGCCACTTTCCAGGTAGAAACAATGGGCTTCCATTACAATTGAACATATTTCATGAGCAAGTCAACTTCCAGTAATGCGAAGGTTAAAAGCTCTGCTGCGTACAAGAGGCTTTTGAGGATCTTAATGGAAGGATGGGTCTTGTTTCTAATCATGAAACAAGTCACTTAAAATTCCTTCACCAAGGCCTCACAATAGGCCATATGTGACTTTTTGTAACTGTGGCATAGGCCTACCAGTTTCTGAAGAGCCTTCGAATGACTTGACAGGGGAGGGAATCGTCATCGTCGTTGATGCTGATGCGTTCCAGGAATCACCATCGTTATCGGGTCTCTGGCAGGCTTGCAGGAAATCTGGCAATACAAACCGAACGTCACTTCACATCATCATTAAGTAAAGTCATTACGCATCAGGGACCTAAACATCAGGGGAAATGATTACAACTGGTGCGAAAACGGTAACATTTGCTCAATAATGGTGGAGCCCAGATTCAGGATCCAGGAGTTCCAGCTAATGCGTGAAACAGACAAAAAATACGTATGAAAACAGGATGAATTGAAGGTTGGGGCAGGTTGAACAGCAATGCCCTGTGTTTGCTGATCAAATTTGAGCGAAGTTAATCCTCCCTGCCTAATTAGTGTGCCGTATTTAATTCATAAGCGTGTCGATAGGTAGTCAGATCAGTTGCAGAGTTCAATGATTCTCGAGCTAATTGTAAGTCTTGGATGGAGATGAGTGAGCGGCCCGCGGGCCCGCAGGCAGCCCGCCAGTCGACTGGGCTCGGGACTCCATGGAGAGGTCCGTGCGGATCCGCGTATGTAACCCCCAGCGTGGTGGGGCCCCTATCCTGCACTCCAACCAATAGAAGGGCCCTCTTCTCGAGGAGAGAAGGAAGCGCGGTCATCCCAGGCAGTAACAGGCTCGCATCATTAGTGATGGCATTGGGAAGGAGACAGAAGGAAAGCGAGAATCGAATGAGTCTCTTCTCTCTGTTAAGTTCTTGTAAGAGATCCTAACACCATTCCTTCTTATTCGAGACTTTTTTTCTGCCGTACTTAGTAATCCTTTCATAAGAGAACAAGAATCTTTACGAAGAAGCGTCCGCTTGCGGGAATGGATCAGGGCTAGAAGGCTTCAAACATCACCTTTTTCCCACCGATGACCGCAAGGGGCCAGCCAAAGTCGCTCTAACGCTGTACGCGATTCGATTGGTTGGACGGCGGAATAGGGGCCCCATCGTGCTATGGGTTTGTACATAAGCGGCCAGGCCGGGCCCGTCCACATGGAATAATTCATTTCCTTTCTGCGCTTTACCTCCACGGGATGGAGAGAAGTCGTTTAGGCGGGTCACAAGGTCCGCGGGTCGACTCAGTGGAGAAGTCTCGCAAGTCAGATCCAGGGGCGGATACAGAAATTTTTCATGGGGGGGGGGATTCCCAAGTTCCTACCCCCCCCCAGCCTACCATCATTCCTCTTCCTTTCACCTTTTTTATTTTTCGCCTGGGGTAAGAACTTGAGTTTCTATTTCACTAGTTCCAATAAAATGTAATGCAGATGCTATTTTGAATAAATAAATCAAATGCCAACCTGGCCATAGAGGGGGCGGTCGCCCGTCGCCCCCCCCCTCCTATATCCGCCACTGGTCAGATCCGGACAGTGGCCTGTATTTGTTTCTCCTCCTCACAACCTCGTAGGTGAAGAGGATTAAATACTCAAAATCCACTTCCTTCATTGCACATGGAAGCGCCCTAGGAGACATTAAATTGAATCAGTGGTACCTGCCTCAATTCTTCGACTCGGCGGGAAAAAGTTACTAAAATTATTTTGTGTGCCAGAATTGGACTCGACCAGAGGAGGAAGAACATGAATCAAACCGGTGCAGGGTGGGGCTGATGGAATCGGAAAAGGTCGGGCTTAGGCCACAAGAAAAGTAACGCCAGTTCGGTCATTGAAATTGAAATAATTGAAAAATCATGGTACCAAGAAAACATCCTCATCCTGCAACGAACTAATGCAGGAGGAGCGCATTTGAAGCGTCATCCCAAACAAACATTCCAGAATAATTGGCATGTCTAAATATTCAAAACTCACATGAGGATGATGGAACAGAATAAGAGGCATCTATGATGAGAAACGACAAGGGAATGATTTTCCCTCAATTCACAGCTGGTCCCGTCTCGAATCTCAGAGTACTTAAAACAACTGCACTATGAGGGCATATCTTCACAAGGATATAGGCAATGCAATTGTAGGAAGCAAACAGAACTGGAATATGTGAAGAAATAAACTTTAAACGTTACTTTCATACTACCTTGATTCTTTACACATTAATTCGTCTGAAAACAGAAAACGGGTATTAAGCAGGCATGTGAAGCGGAATTGGGGGTGGAAAGAGATGGGAGGGGGAAGGCTCCGCAAGAGGAAAAAAACTGTGATGAGGAAGAGAAACAAACCCTATGCGAAAAACCGGCTCAGAACGTTCCACACTCTCATAAGGAGAAGACTGACTGGTATGGGGATGGAATCTCCTTTCCCTCCCTAGCCCGCCCTCATTGGCCCACATCCTGTGACGTAGCCACCGAAACAGCATTGCTACTCCTCTAGACCTCTTTTCAGATCCGGACATCGCAGCAAGGTATATCGATAGATTTATTTATATACCCTGCATACCAGTACCGACCTCCTCCAAATTTCACTTCATTCAACAAAGGGATTTTAGCTTCTTTCAGACGAGACAATTTTCAGAGGCCTTTCGCTAAAAAAAAAAAGAAGAGAAGCTCGTGGAACGGGAAGTGAACACAAGCGAGAAAGCAATCAAGAATGGAATTATCCAGAATTACATGATCCTTTCATCTATTTTGTCCCCATGTTTTAACACCGGAAGGTTCCACGGGATTCCCTGGAAGTGCCACGCATGTGTCTCTATTAGGAATACTTAGTAGGTTCTTAAGCAGCTCACTGAATGTCGTCCCGTCTCCGTCCCGAATGAACTATTCCGTGTGAAACAGGGACCTTCACAGATCCAGTGCCCCCCCCCCCTCCCCCGCGCAATATTTGGACAATCCAAAGAGAGAGAGAGAAAAAAAAAAACAACCTTCAGTCTACCGTGTGAAACAGGGACCTTCACAGACCCAGTGCCCCCCCCCCCCCCCCCGCGCAATATTTGGACAATCCAAAGAGAGAGAGAGAAAAAAAAAAACAACCTTCAGACTCTCTGGAAAGAGAGCATCGGCTGCGTGAGGCCATGCCTTTGTCGATTTTTCTACGCGCAAGACACGTCTGTTTAATTTAGAAGAAAATAACAAAGAACCTCTTCATACTTATTCTTCATTGATATCATGATCGTCACGTTCTCGGTCTCGAATTCGATTGCTGGTTCTAACCGTAGGCCTGTGCGTGTGAATTAAAATGCGACACGCGCGCACGATCTTTGGATCAGCCGCGAATGCCTATGCGTGGGCGAAGAATGCCGTGTCGTCGGCCGTGACGTGTGGCCCAGAAAATTGCTCCTTGGAACGCGGGGCTAAACGAAGGGGGAGAGACGCAGATCTGTCGCGAACGGAAGCGAGACTGACCGCATCCGAAATAGATTCAGCACGCCAAGAACCAGAGAAGATGAAAAGAATTTGCCAAATGAAAAAAAAAACTGACTATTTCGTCCTCGCACCGAGGATACATGACCTCCATGGCCTTCTTTGTGCGCTTCATCTCTCCATTGGCAGCTTTCTCTCTGGCCGAACATCGTTCCAGGGGAGGGATTCATTACACTTCAGGAACGAGGAACTCTAGCTCTCCCGTGGACGTCGCGTGTGGTGGTGGGGCGGGGCCATCGTCACTGCCGATCCGGGGCCCTGCACTCACTCCTCGATTTAAAAAAATACCAGGCACACGGCCTCGTGCGACAGTGTGCATGTCCGACCGGCCACCGAGCGGTGCCATTCCCTCAAGTGCGACGCATTCCCGGTTCCTCCACGCACTTTTCCGCTGCCCATCTCCCGAAATACGAGCGGATCGACCACAAAAAACGGGCTCTCCAGACGGTGTTCGAAGTGATACGAGCGAGACGGCGCCGGTCCCACGAACGGTTTTCTTCAATTCGGCGCCTGGTGAATTTGGCTTATGTAAGGAACCGGGAAAGGGCCTTCGCCCATGGGCGCGCCGGCGAGAGGGGTCCCTCCCCCTGCTCCGCGCGACCCACGGATCTGTTCCCTTAGAGGGAGGGGGGGGGGGGAAAGGAAATCGATCAAGACTTGGGCCAGGCTTTGCTGGCGCGAGCCGAAATGCCTAAGATGAAAAGAGGGCACGACCCGATTAGACGCGCGTATTTTTCTCCACAGGAATTTCCCGGAAATATATTCCTGTCAAAACAAGGCCCTAATTAACTCCGCATTGGCACGATCTTCCGAAAAGCCCATCGACAGAATCTGCAAAGATCCTCTTCCCTTGTTCCTACAGTTGAGATTTAGGAGAGTTTTGACTCGGCAAGAAATAAAAAAACAGCAACAGCCGCAAAGCTTCTCCAAAAAGAGTGTTAACTCCTACACTTACCTTCAAGAATGACATGTTCCTGTATGCCCAATTCACGAACTTGTGAAGTTGTAAAGGGTAGAATCCTCTTGCGTAGCCTCCGAACGTCAGCTGCATCTTGTCATAATTTGCAAATTTCATAAAAATATGATATGGGAAAAATTCCATATGAGAGCGAAAGTCTTTATCCTGGCCGCTGATTGGAAAATCCGAGGAAGGAGGACTGTTGTCGTTTCCGTTCGGCTCAACTTTTTTCTTTTCAGCCAGCCATTAATCATGACATCCTCTCTTTGCTTGAATCGTCGTCGAATTCAGAAAGCCCTTACATGGCGTAAGGTGCCAGAAAAGGATAAAGAAACATCGAGTTCTTTCCCTTTACTTGGAGTCAGAACCATTATTTAGTACATTTGAGCATTCCAAAATGTGCCATCGAGCAACTCGCTATTGTACTTTTCATGTTAAATTTGAATGATAAGGGTAAAGGAGATGGACGAAATCTGTTTTTCTGGAAGCCACTGATTGAGATTTCCTTCCTGCCTCCCCTCATCAAGGTGTCCTCAGTGGGAGGGCTACCGATTCTCAAAATAACCGATAACAATGGATATGGTCCGCGCGGCATCGGAGTGAATTCATTAACTCCCCTTCTCTCTCTTTTAGGTTTCAGGCTATTTGAAGGAATTTCGCATGGAAATGAGAATTGGGCTTGATGACCCTGTATTTTTCACCTTCAGATTCCTGGGAAAACTCTCTAAATCGGAGATGACCAACCTTCAGCCTGCGGACCTGCTTCTAATGCAGAGTGCAATTACAATGGTAATGCAGAATGAAATGAGCTTTAAAATAAATTCCTTTGCCGTCCATAACATCATTCGTCATCCCTTAGTAACTAGAAATAGCCTGAGCGTCCTTTCTCTTCCGACCCCTAATTATTCCTCGAGTGGCGGTGTCGCAAATGGAACGAGGTTCTCCATGGGAAGGCTATTTTTGAGCATTGGAATTTCCTGGTGGTGGGGGAAAAGTGAGGGTCGTCGGTCGATCAACGTGACCTTGTACCCCTCCTCACATGCTCCAAGGGCAATTGAGGAAAGTCTTTTGCATTTCATGGCCTTAGTGAAGAGCCGCACGTTTCCATGCGACCCACCGCCAATAAATGCTGCACACCTCTGTTCTAAACCCACAGTGTCCAATTCGTTCGCCACTCGCCACGTGAGGCGAATTGATGATGACCTCGAGGATTGCGCATCCTTTTAATTAATATTGCATATATTTTGTATCATGCGGCGAATATGGTGGCCTAATCGCCACAAGTTTGGCTAGCATCAAAATCCTATTGGACATCAGTGTTCTAAGCTCTTGAAAACAAGAGAGCATAAACTCCATTTTCCCTCCAATTTTACTTTGAGAAAAGAAATACAACTGGTGAGGCTTGGGAGGGTACTGAATTTATCGACTATTTTTATTCTATTTGACCTCCAGGATAATTTATTTATGTCAGGGGGAAAAAATTGATGACAAATTCTCCTTCATTAACCTCCCTTCAGAGATGAGAGCGGGGAAAGAATCGATGTTCGATCTAACTCGAGTACAGGCGGGAAAAACGCAAGAGAAAGAGTATTACATAATGTCTCGATTGGTGGTCGCCGGACAGGATGTTCCCGGATATTTTGGTACGAAATGAGAAATAGGACAAAATGCTCCTTGCGATAATTGCGAACATTTAGTACTGCTCTATTATGTGATACCATGGTAGACATAAGTATCCATATGCATGAGAGGTTCATCTGTCGGTGTGTTTGGCATTCCGGGAAACTTCGTCTTAACAGATTAACGGACTTACATGATTGAGGGGTCGATCGAAAGCATATGACCTGGAGGGATTATTTAGTAAGTCAGATGTCCAAAAAGAAAAAAAAATATTATCCATGTGTCATTGCGGAAACGGGTCTTTGCCTGCACGGGTCTCTTTTTCAAACCCGACCCGTTCGGTCTGAAACGAATTGCAACCAAAGCACGACCCGCAACTCGTTCGCTGACCGCGCTTTACGGGCCAACAGTCTGCAGACCGCTTAGGCCTCTAAGCTTGAGAAACGGAGGTCACTCATGAAGTCCTCGCCCACACCTCACTGGAACCTATATTGCCAAAGAAGCTAAGTGCCCGATTCGTGGGTCGGGTACGATCAATCAAACTGATACGTGTCTCCTAATCTTCATTCCATCCTCGGCATTCGAAATTCGAACAAGTCTCACTCGAATGTTAGGAAACGGAATTCGCTTTGTTAGGAAACGGAAAAGATTTGCATACAGCCAATTGGGGATTTTCGCATGACTGAACAAATCCCAACATTTTAATTCAAGGCGTGGCTGCTCGAAATTCGAACAACGTCACTTCAGTGATTCACTGAAGCGTCCTGACAAGCATTGTACATATTAGATTGGTCAGAGCTAACGAATTATTAAATTTATCTTACTGCCTGATGATATATTTTTACTAGGGCTGTAATATAGCGGTTTCCAAAACATCGATGCATCGACCTAAACTATCGATAATGTTTCGATGCATCGGGGGTGGGGTTGAGGTGCGCCAGAGGATTCCATCTTTCCTCGCCGCGATCTGGGCGCAGACCTCTTTCTGGCTTCCATAATCTCATGCTTGTGATCACACCCGATCAGGAGGAATGTGTGACCTCCGCAAAGAGTAATGAAACCTACAATGCTTCCAACTATTGAAGATGACATCCATTCATCGATGGATGCATCAGGACAGCCCTAATTTTTTCTTATTGCTGTTGAGAATCAGCTGCCAAGTCCCGTTCACGTAATTGTTTTTCTCTTTTTCTTCGTTTTTTTTTCCCCCTCTTTTTCTTCGTGTTTGGACATCGGCACCAGCAGATAGGAAATCTGCTGATGGTGCTATACCGGCGGTTGCCGAAACATTGGTGCATCCTTTGAGTAAGCAACGTCCATGTAAAAAATTCACTTTGAGTTCACCTCAAGTAGAGATGAAATTCCCCATGGCAAGAAAAAAAAATTCAGAAA